GAGCATGATTCTGGTGCCCCACTCGTATCGTACGTGATAATATTACGTTTTGTTCTCTCTTCGAATATGGTTGACCAATGACCACAATGAATTAGATTTTCAGTATATTTGGATACTTAACAACCAAGCGTTTAAAGCCCATCAGATGTAGCCTCTGTTGGTTTCAATTTGTGTGGTTTCGAGTTACTTTGGGAATTGGGAATGAGTGGTAACCCTTTTTTTGGAATATTTGGAAATTTGAAAACTATATAACACAAATATTCATTGGATGTCTTGAGCTTCGAACATCTATTCATGTGAATGGATATATTTTTTTTAATATTCATTGAATGTCTGGAGTTTCGAACATCTATTCATATGAATAAATACATTTTTTAAAATATAATCGACAATCTAAATTATAGAGAAAATAAATTGAACTCGAGAGAGTACTTACGGACGAGAACACAGACCTAAATCAAGTCTACAAGTGCTTTTCATTTATATTTTGTTGTATCACTTTTATATGATTTTCCCGTCCACTGAATATCTGAGCTTCACATACAAATGGACAGTCTACAAAGGAGCCATCTTAAATGTTCGCAGGTACAAATTGTGGAGGTACTGGACTCGAACAAACTGAAATTTCTAGTGCTATTCTTCACCTTTTCAAGGATTCTTAAAGCTGGGCCAACCCAACTAAGATTCTCATGGAAGGCCGATCACATATCTAAAACTTTTCTAAATTATGGATTGCTTGAGTAGCCCAACGTTTTCAGACTTGCATGGTAACATTCTCATGAAATATTTATGGTACAAGTTTATTGAAAATTTGAACCCTTAGTTTAGCAAGGACATGTAATTTCGATAAGTGATTAAGAATATTTATCCATGTATCTGAGGTATGGATGTGCATCAAACATATATCGATAACATTCAGGTTCATTTTATTGACATACGTTATAGATGGCATTCTTACAAGTTCTTACATAATTAAAAAGATATTTTGATGGTTTATTTTGCAACATTCAGAAGTAAAAAGCATTTCTACCTAGCCGATTGAGAAAATATGAAATTCTTAACAACCACAAACAGTGCCTTGGCCTTGGAGGCGTCAATAATATCAATCCCATGGTAACCTCCTTCAGCAAAATGGCACACCACGTGTACACCATTTTCCTCCAACATCTTCGCCACCTCAATCTGACGGTCGATCAATGGGTCCCCATCCCAGCCAGTCACCAAAACTCTCCACCCAACCGCCGTTCGATCCAACTTCTTACAACCGTCCCCTACCGTCGGATTGCAATACTCGTGGTCACGACTAGCCCCAATAGGCAACGACAAGTCCCACATCAGATCCGAACAGCTCAGTGGGAACGCGGGGTTGTTCGCTAACCTCAACTCGGAGCCACTCCTCTGGGTCCCACTGAAAAAGGGTTGCTGCAATATCAGCCCATGGATCTTCAACGGATGGAGACGGTCAACGTCGGCATGAAGTGCTGCGTGGTAGGCTATGTTACCCCCCGCGCTGATGCCCATGAGGAAAGTATTTGAAAGGTCAGCATGGTCTCTCAACCAATCATCTGGGGTGGTTTTGATCCAGTGCAGCGCTTCCGTTGCATCCTCATAGGCCGCTGGTAGGCGATGCTCTGGAGCGAGCCTGTACTCGACGGATGCGATGATGACGGGAACATCAGTGGCAAAGCCGACGCAGTAATCGTGGAATATGGTTGAGGCTGCACTTAATAAAATGAAGCCTCCACCATGGTAAAAAACGACGAGAGGTAACTTGGAGGAGGAGGAATGATCCAGTTCGTGGCGGGGCAAATAGATTCGAACCCAGGTGTTTTTTGATTCGTTGATGGGGATGTCTTTGGAGAGAACTGGGGTGGGAAGCTTGGGATCGGACGTGGGTGGGCTTTCTGGGAATTTGGCCAAGCGGGTGATGGTGCCGTCAGGGTTGGGTGCAATCTGGAGGCGCTGATAGTTATCAACGGTGGAGATGTCTTTTGCTTGACCTTCGCCTGCACCTGACATTGTTTAGTTTTGTTAATTATCAGAGAAGATGATTAATATGGACGGGTAACGATGCGGTAGTGATTAAACTATATAGTGGCTACCAAACCTTTGACTTAGAGCATGTCCACCCTAAAAGGCTAAGGCTAAGAGCAATTCCACTCATTTATCCTTAGTCATGACAAAGGGGAGTTAGGGCAGTTACTATTCACGTGAATAGTTGTTATCCTTGCAAATAGTGTTTTCTGTTTCCACCTGTTGTAATGGTAAAGGGCAATTACTATTCATTTTTTATATTTTTTTCACAATTTTTTTTACCTCAATAATTAATTTGGATAATATTTTCAGATAAGATTTTCGGTTTCCTACGTGTCAATACTATTCATATCTCATAATCGGATAAAATTTTCAATTTCAAATTTAAGATAAATTAAAAAAAATTAGCTGGTATTTATAGAAAAAAATTCATTAATTTTTGGGTATTTTTTTAAAAAAAATTCCGAATTTTTTTCAGTATTTTATTGCAAAAAAACTGGCTGCCGTTGGATTGGAGAAAAAAATCAGATCGGAGAGCCCAGACGATGCTAAGTGGCAACAGAAAAAAAAATCCAATGAGTGGGCTGACGCTAACCTGACGTCAGCACCATCTTGTGTTTTGGACCTCGGGCTAAACTGGCCTTCGGGCCAGCCTGAGTTGCATGAGACCCACTCTAGCCCGTGCTTGGACTCACCGTTGGAAACCAATTTTTGCAAAAAAACACCCCCAACCCGAGGCAAGGGGGCCTCGGTGGAACTACTCTAAGAGCAACTCCACCCATTTGCCTTTAGCCATGGCAAGAGGGGAGTTAAGGCTACCACTATTCATGTGAATAGTGGTTGCCCTTGCAAATAGTATTTTGTGTTTCCACCCGTTGCCATGGCTAAGGGCAGTTACTATTTATTTTTTTGTTTTTTTCATTAATTTTTTTACTCAATAATTAATTTGGATAATATTTTCGGATAAGATTTCCGGGTCCCTACGTGTCAATACTATTCATAATCGGATAAAATTTCCGAATAAATTTTCTAATCATTAAAGATAATTATAATTCATATATGAAGTTTTTCAAGACGATAAACAAGGCTGGGGCTTTGGACGGGTCAGATACCTCCAAACCATGAAACCCATTGCCAAAATGGGTCATTGTCCGTACACCTTTCCCCTCTAACATCTTCCCCAACCCCATCTGACGGTCAATCAACGGGTCCCCGAAACAACCCGCAACCAATACCCGACAACCCATTACCCGAATCGCAACGCAACGCTCGAATTCTTTACTACCGGCCGGATTGCAATACTCATGGTCACGGTCTGCGCCCAGAGGCAACACCCATTTCCACGCGGCATCACAGACGCGAGGTGGCAAAATTGGATCATCCTCCATCACCATCTCCGACCCGGTCCTCTCGGACCCACCAAAGAACGGATGGTGCAATATCAGCCCTTTGATTTTCAGAGGGTCAAGATGATCACTCACTGCACAAGCGCGAAGCCCAGCATGGTAAGCCAGGTTCCCACCGGCACTCGTACCCATTAAGAAACAATTGGAAAGATCAACGAATTTTACGATCCACTCTTCTTTGGTGGTTTTAATCCAGTGCAACGCATCCACGGCGTCGTCATAAGCCGCAGGGAGACGATGTTCGGGTGCGAGGCGGTACTCTAGGGAGACGATGAGGACTTGGAGTTGGAGAGCCATGGTAGAACAGAATTCGTGGAAGATGGATGACGTGGCACTGAAGAAAATAAAGGCGCCACCGTGGTAGTAAAAAATGAGAGGGATTCTAGGGGCGGGTAAATCGAGGACCTCACGGGGGAGGAATAGTCGTACCATGGTTTCGGTTTTCGGATTTACCGAGATGTCTTTGGAGAGGACCCGAGTGGTTGGAGAGGATGGGTCGGGCTGGGCCGGTACAATTGGAAGTGTAATGAGACGGGTGTATGTGCCGTCTGGGTTGGGAATCAACTTGGACATGGTTCAACATATAATCTTTTACTTGGTAGTTTGGGTTTCTTCTTCTTATTCTTATAGGAGTCACCCAACAACATGGGTACTTTTTTTAATTCTTTTGTTTCATTTAAATTAATTGGATCCTAATATTATTTATTGAGACTAGCCTCTCTGCACGCGCTTTCTCGTCTGCAAGAGAGGCTTTTTTTAAAAAAAAATTAAATTTATTTTAGAATTAAAAAAGATAATGGGTAGTTGTGTTTTATAAAAATAGGATCAATTATTTGATTTTTTTTTAAATATGAAAAAAAATATAAATTTACCATATTATTCTCATTTAATTAATAATTTTAATTCTTAATAATTGTATTAATCAATTGTATTTTTTGGTATTTTGAATGTTTCATCAATCTCTGCTTTTTACTTTATATATAGATGATGATGTATCCTTGAAAATTAAGTTTCGGAAATTGCTTGTCAGGTCCAAACAAATCCACAATATACAATGACGACGGTCTACCACATAATTTATACAAACGTCAATTTCCTACCATTGTCATGTCGGTACTCTACAACTAATTAATATGAGATGTCAAGGGTAATTCAGTAAGTTCACATCTATGTTTATGTTATCCTGCGCCTACCACATGTATATGAATTTAATATAAAATTGGTTAAAAGTCTTTGAGAAACTGAAATTTAGGCAACTTCCTTTGGCGCGAAAGAGCTTATGTGGGCCTCGCTATTTATAGTTGAGGTTTGTTGGGTCTGGGCTTACAGATGGACCTGGACCAAAGTGGATCCACATTTGCCACGTTATTACTTAACAGAAAATTAAGTCATCGAATTAACTGAATGTGTAAATTGATTAAACTTTAAAATGTTATTGCGTAAATTGGCAAAAAAACTCCATGACTGATTTAAAAAATGACCCCAAATCTTCTGGGTTGGCTCAATTTACGTAAGCGTTGTAAAATATTTTAATGGACATACTCTTCTCATTTTTCATAAAAATAAGAAGTAAATCTAAACATCACGTTACAACTTGAAGTCCTGAACGAAAGATAATTATTTATTAGAGCTGGAATATAAAACTTTTAAAAACCGCAAACAATTCATGTGCCTTGGAGAGGTCAACATCCTCAACTCCATGACAACCTCCTTGGATAAAACGACCCACCACTTGCACACCTTTTTCCTCTAGCATCTTCACCAACTCAATCTGACGGTCCATCAGTGGGTCCCCATCACATCCAGTTACCAAAACTCTCCATCCAAGCGCCTTTATTTCATCCAAGTGCTTGGAACCGCCACCCACCGTTGGATTGCAATACTCATGATCACGGTCAAACCCACGAGGCAATGACAAGTCCCACATCAGGTCACAACAACTTAGCGGCAAAACGGGGTCGTTGGCCATCCTTAACTCGGAGCCACTTCTCTGGGTCCCACCAAAGAATGGTTGCTGCAACATTAGCCCTCTGATCTTTAAGGGGTTGAGATGGTGAACGCCCACAACTGCACGGAGTCCTGCGTGGTAGGCTATGTTACCTCCAGCGCTGGATCCCATGAGGAAACAATTTGACAGATCAGCATAGTCTGTCAACCAGTCGTCTTGCGCGGTTTTGATCCAGTGCAACGCTTCCATTGCATCGTCATAAGCCGCCGGGAGCCGATGGTCCGGAGCCAGCCTATACTCGACGGATGCAATGACCACGGGCACGTCAATAGCAAGATTCACACAAAAATCATGGAAGATGGTTGAGCCTGCACTGAGCATTATGAAGCCTCCACCATGGTAAAATACCACGAGAGGTAGCTTGGTAGTGGGTGTGGCTGTGGGCGAGGGGGATTGATCCAGTACATGGCGGGGTAGGAACAATCGAACCCAGGTGTTGTTTGATTGGTTGATGGGGATGTCTTTAGAGAGGACTGGGGTGGGAAGGTTGGAATCACAAGTGGGTGGACTGTTTGGATATTCCGCCAAGCGTGTGATGGTGCCGTCCGGATTGGGTGCAATCTGGAGGTGATGGTAAGGATCAACGGTGGGATTGGAATCGGACGCTGCCATTTGATCGGCCATTGTAATTTTTGTTAATGGAGGGAGCAGACTGAGCTCAAGTCCGTTTGTTAATAGTGCTTCGTATAATCAGGGGGCGAAAGTGCTTATGTGGGCCTGGTTATTTATAGGTGAGGTTTGTTGGGTCTGGGCTTACAGATGGTTTGTTACACTTTGAACAAGCCTTAATTAATAGATGGAGGCTTCTGTTTAAATCAATATTATTTAAAGCTGCGTGTCATTGTCAGACACAATCTTGGAGCTGTGTACGGTTTATGCGACTCAAAAAGGGCGTAAATGGCGGATAAAATTAAGTTGCAAAAAGGTCAGAAACCACAGGAACTATATGGTGAAATGTTGATTGGAAAGTTTGGAATAGTTGGGTTTATATTGGGGCAATGAAGCGAAAATGGAGACACATTGGCCCCACAGGGCAGAGCAACTAGGTTTTGCATTTGCGGAAATGCACTCATTCTGTAGCCAGATATTTATACTGTTGTTGTGTTTGGATGATGGCTAGGGTTTGGATCATTTGGTAAACGAGTAGCTTAGAAATGATACACAACAACAACGCTAACTTTCATGCGTTCCATTACTAATCAACCTTAAAGTTGCTAGGCTTTTTTTAGTTTTTCCCAAAGGTAAAAGGGTTAGGCTTGTGTCCCTATTCATAATCTAAACTTGGAAATCTTGGCGGGAGACTTTTTGAGAATTATTGATGTGTTTATGCGAAATTAAATACAAATTAAAAAAAATAGAGAAGAGATTCTGCAATGTTCTAGGTTCAAGATTTTAAGATAAAGAGGATATATATTGTGCATGCCATGTCCAAACAAAACAATGCCTTATCCTATATAAAATCCTATACCAATACCAAGCCCACTTCCCAGACCTACGTACCAATCAACATTGTCTGCAATGATACCCATCAGTTTTCAGTCTACCCAACTGCATTTCCTCACCTTTGATTTGATGGAACTAACCGTAGGAGCTGCCTCTGCACCCAGCAGAGCAGGTGCAACAGCCGCCATTTCACCTCCCCAACGCACACCCGCAAAAACCAACCATTTTCTTCATAGGAATCAAATTTAAAAAACAACCAAAAACCCTCCACATACAAAAGTATAAGAACTTTAACAAACCCCAATTCATTAATCATAATAATAAATACATAATAACAATAATGTGTTAGAGAGAGAGAGAGAGAGAGAGGGTCACATCAGAGCCCCACCAGCTGTGGCTGACTGCAGAGAAGACTGCAGCTGCAGCAGGTGGTGGTAACAATCGGCTGCGGTCGGCCTCTGCTCGGGGTTTTGATCCAAACACCGATTTTGAAGCTCCCTCAGCATCTTCGGCACGCCTGTCAACCCACAGCTCCTCACCAAATACCCCACTCCCCACACGTCCACTTTCACCCCATGCAACCCTCTCTCCATCTCCGGTGCGTGCCTCACACGCGCCGCCGACTCCCCCGCCGCCACCGCTCGTCGAGGATATATCTGCGGAGCCCCCACCGCCTCCTCAAACCCGCAAACAAACCACTCGTTCTCCCTTTCCGTTCTCCTCATCACTTTCTCCCAGCTTATGTCCCTGTGCATGAATGACAAGTCGTGCAGTGCCACTAAAGCTTTGGTCACGTACTTGAGCGCCTCCACAAGTTGCTCACAGTTTGTAGGCTTGCACTTGTACCCTCTTGGCTTGAACACCAAACCCAAATCTTTTTCCAACGACCTGTGGATAAATTCTGCATGGGGTATTCTGTGGTCGAGAAAATCGTAGATTTCTTTGACCGCGGTCCATTTTCGAACGTTGCAGAAAAACCGAGTCACCGTAGTTGGTGTCATTTCGACTATGTTTCTTCCATTGCCCAAGTCAAGTCTCTCGAAATCACTATGGGGAAGCAATTTGTTGCAATTGGTGTTGTTGAAGCACCGATCGGCCAGCAATGGCAATAAGCCGGCAATTCGATAACATGGGACTAGGGCTTTGAGTCTCTCTGAGGGTGAGGACAGATCAATGGTGGCTAAATCAGTACGATTTATTCGATCTTGAGATCGGCTTAATGCACAAAATGTCACCACATAACCAATTGCATAGTAGCCGAATATGTAAGGAAGGTCCATGTAGGTCCATAAGATTTTCTCAACGATTGAGCTAGATGGGTTCATGTCATGGCTGTCTCTTAGTTGATGGGTTTCTTCTCCTCTAAATAAACAAAAATTTCGAACAAACCCCGTCACGTTCGGCCATTGATCTAGTAAGGGTTCGGTTGGTGATGAAGCGTTGGGCCTGCGGATGAAGGCCATTTCGAGTGAACAAAATTTGGAGACGAGCCTATTGATGCAGTCGTCCCAAATGGGAATGAAAGAGTCTCTACTTGTGGCAGTGGATGCACTGAGACTGGGGTTTGTTCGGATGATGGGGCTAACGATGTCATACGTGATGGCTCTACAGTCTAGCAATTCGGTTGAGGTGGTGAAGAAGATTTCTTTTCCTTGTGGTAGGTCGCGGTAGACGTCTTTTCGGAGTGGGAAGCGGAGTTCCTCCGGCGGCGGCTCTTGTAAGTACCATTGGAGCTCGGGTAAGCTCGGAAGCGATGGTGGCGGGGCTCCAAGACATCCCACGTAGTACTCAGTTGGGTCTTGAAATTCGGTTGAAGGAATAGCTGCAACAAAGCACATGCATATATGGCATGGTGATAATAATAGTAACATTAACCAAACCAATGTGCAATATAAAAGTTGAACATCAAATAAAATATATGATCAAACTAATTCAATTTGGTTTTAGGACTTACATCTTGAAGAGGATTCTGGTAAGGAAAGCTGGACTTTTTCATTGAAGCCTAATTGGCATTAAATAAAAATGAAGTGTTATATGTGGAATTAAGCAAAGATTTTTTTGACATGGGAATATCAAATTAAGAGATGCTGTCAATTTTACCAGAAGTAGATGACGAAGGCTTTCTTCTGCCAAAGACTTTGACTTGTTGTCCAGACACAAACCGATCAACGGAAAAGCCTCTAAGAGGTCCATCTTCAAAGGCTTCCATGGTGCAAGCAACCATGGAATCATCAAAGAAAGTGAGCTCGTCGGCATTCAAGAAGCTCGAGCCTTGGACCCTCACTCTCCCGCGGTGGTGCTCACCTTCTTCAGCCCACAAACTCACTAATTCTTCCCATGTCATTCGAATCTTTCCAATTCGACGAAGCTCCTTGGAAGCAGAAGACGAAGAGAGGCCTGCAGTGAAGTCTAGGGAAGACTGATCATGATGATGAAACCCTAGCAAGGTCCCTCTTCCTCCATGGTAAAACGGTTCCCCTCCACCGCTCATGATCATTAGCTGCTTCTTGCTACCTGCATATATATGATGAGAGAACTATTATATCAACCCATTGTTTAAAAAGAAGAAAAGATAAAAACAAAAACAAAACCAAAAGTAAAAATAAAAATGATAAGAGAACTATTATCTACTCCATTGTTTAAGGATGATGGAACTATTAAAAATATATATGTTTGTGGACAATGTACATAATATACTATAGGATGATATATATACCTGAGGGTGGGAACTCGTCTTCTTTGAAAGAAGGCGGTTGGGTTAGACTTCTTGTCACAACAAAAGCCGATCGACTATCGTCCCCAACTGAGCCTAATCTGCTCTGAGGTGTTCTCATTCTAGACCCCATGAACTGTGAAAGTTCCTCAAAAACCTCTTCATCAAAAGAGGCAGGCAACCTATGCAGCTTTCTCTCGTAGGGCGAAAGTCTAAAATAACTCTTCCCAACTTGTTCTCTCTCAGCCCCTCTCTCCCACTCGTAAACTTTTCTAAACTCTCCCAGCATATTATCCCACTTGGTACCTGCTGTTTTTGCGTCTCTGTTGACTCCATGCTTTTGAAGAAACTCAGCTACTTCCCTATCCTTATCAGCTCTTGTTTTGCTTCTGGTGTGAGGGGTACCTGTCTCCGTTGGTATTTGCTCTGTTCTCGAAGATGAGCCGGACCCATGATCTGAAGACCCACCAGCTGGCCCACCTTGATATTGAATCCTCCATCCCCTGGCCAACCACAACATCTCATTTGGTTTCCAAACTGGGCTCACATACTTTCCCTTTCTGAATTGATGGTTGTGCACTGGGTTTTGAAGATCTCCCTCGGTCTTGTTTGTGTCCTGCCCTGAGGTTGCTGATAATGAAGGCAGAGGAGAGTGTGCCGGTGGTGATGAGGCTGTGTCTGAGGAGGAAGCTGCTCCGGTAGGTGTAACATGAGGTTGGGGTAATTGGGTACTCTTTGGGTTTGGGGATGGGGTTGATTCTTTGGAGAGAATTGGTATTTGGGTTTGTTTTGTTTGGGAAGAAGGAGAAGGTAGGAGCTTCCATTGCCCTGTTGTATATCTAGGTCTCTTGGGGTTCACAGCTGCCTCAAAGTGTTGCTGATCAAAGGGTGACGAAGATGAAGTTGCTGCACCACTTGGAACAAACAAAGGGGCAGGAATATTGAATGGGGCAGCAGCCGGTGGAGGCTGCGGTTGATGGTGGCGTGCTCTTGTAATTTCTGTTGGTAGTAACTGATCTTCAAGGGGGTCGTTTGGAGAAGGTGAAATTTGTTGCTGTTGCTGTGTTTGTTGTTGTTGCGGCTGCTTCTTGCTCGTATCCCCTTTGTTGTCACCCATCTCAAATGGGCCCAAGGATTTTTTTTATTTTTTTAAAAATACTTAAATGAGTTTGGGTAAAGAGAAACCTGAGACTTAGAGAAGAACTAGAACAAGAAAGAAGAAAGCTCTACCATTAGTGTAGGGCTGTAGAAGTAGAACTAGTTTGGTTTTATTGTTCCAGCTTTGAACTTGAAAAAAAAAATAATTTGAAACTTGATCACAAGGAAAGGGAAGGGGCGTTTTTGGACTTAGGTAACGTTGCAGCCATATCTCTACAACAGGGAAAGAAAGAAAGTCACAAAAGAAAGTATAGGGATCATAGCCCCAGTTAAAAGCAGAAAAAACAGAGAAAAAGCAGAACAAAAAAGTCGTGGTTGTGGAACTGCCATCGAATATGACCCTTCAGTCCCTTAATCACTTAATTAAGAC